GAGGCAGGAGACTCGCTTGAGCCCAGGAGTTGGAGGTTGCTGTGAGCTGTAATGCCACGGCACTCTGCCCAGGGGGCAGCTTGAGGCTCTGTCTCAAAAAAAAAAAAGTACAAAAGAAACTAAAACTTGCCATTCTCTACTTTAGTAATGCTGGCTCCACATAGCTCTGCTAAAAATTCTTCTGGGGAGACTTTTTGGACTACACCTCTATCCCTGGCTGTGCTCCCTCCTGGCTACCCTCAGAGCTTGTGTCTGGTGGTCTGGTGTCAGTATCTTCTCTCCAACCAGGGGCGGTCTTGCCCATACCACCTTCTCATTGTTGCCTCATGTTCCCAGGAGCCCTTGCCCTGTTCTCGGCTGCTGCCCAGGCCGGATCTTTCTCATGACCTTTCTTCCTGTAGGTGCTGCCTGCGGATGAGATTCCCAAGCCCATCAAGCCCCCAACCTACCAGGTGGTGGATTACGGAGAAGCTTTAGCCCTATACACCTTCAAGGGGGAGCTGGACGTGGAGCTGTCCTTCCGCAAGGTGGGACCAGGCAGGAAATGGTGGGGTGGGGGGTAGCTGAAGATACAGTCAGATATGTGCACTAAGAACATTTTTTTTAGAATCAAGTGTACTTATCTCCACCTAGTATTTCAAAGTTTTACCAAACCCCCTTATTATGTTTCCCTTAACATACTCCATTGTAAAAAGGTTGTTACAGGCTGGGTACGGTGGTTCACACCAGTAATTCTAGCACTTTGGGAGGAGGATCGCTTGAACTGAGGTCAGGAGTTTGAGACTAGCCTGAGCAACATAGTGAGCCCTATCTCTGAAAAATAAAAAAAATTGGACGGGCATGGTGGCACATGCCTGTAGTCCCAGCTAGTCAGGAGGCTGAAGCAGGAGGATCTCTTGAGCTCAGGAGCTTGAGGTTGCACTGATGTATAATGATGCCACTGCACTCTAGCTGGCGCAAGAGAACAAGACCCTGTCTCAAAAAAAAAAAAAAAAAACTTGGTATAAACTTGTACTGCAGATTAGTAGGTTGTGAGGATCACAGTCAGTATTTTTTTTTTTTTTTTTTTGCAGTTTTTGGCTGGGGCTGGGTTTGAACCTGCCACCTCCGGCATATGAGGCTGGCCCCCTACTCCTTTGAGCCACAGGTGCTGCCCCCACAGTCAGCATTTTTAAAGGAATAGTTAGAAATGTTAGACTACACTGTGTGTGTGAAAAGGGTAATTCATCAAACTTTAGGCAATTGTGTGTATACAAATATGTGTTTAGGGCTGTTATTACTGAAACATACTTTTTATGTAGATTGTGGCTGGAAAAGTTTGAAAAATGTTCTAGGAAGCAGGAAGTGGTCTCCCTTTGATTGGTTTTTGGGCAGCTGCCATGATGCCCCTAGTGATTGCCACCTGGAATAGCCTGGTGGCAGGGACCTGGAATAGCCTGTTCCCAGGGAGAGGGAAGAAGGGAGAGAGGTGGGGGCAGGAGAGGGCCAGGGAGAGGGAGGCCTGGGACAACCCTCCCCAGGGTGTCCCACAGAGACAGTGGTGGTTCTGCCCCCACCATCACAGGATCACTCTGCATGTGAGGCAAGGACAGGATACTGTCACGGAGGGGACGGCTAATGCACCTTAGGAGTCCCCTACTTGTTTGTTCCTCTCAGCAAAGTATCCTTATCCTCACTTAACGTGTTAGGCAACCAAGGCTCAGAGGAGCAGAGCAGACACATGGCAGAGCTGGGTGGGATCTGTGTTCTTAGTCACGGTCCCCCGTGATTGTAGCTCTGGGGAGGGACTGTGCCATGAACCTGGAGTGGGGAATGCAGGCTTGGTGGGCTTCCCAAAGAGGCGGAACCTGATCCAAACCCAGAGCTGTGTGCTGTGGGAAGAGCTCAGACTTGGCCTGCTCGCTCAGGCAGTCTGGGTTTGGCTCCTGACTCTCCACTTTCTGTGTGGCCTCAGGTAACCTGCTGACCCACTCTGAGCCTAATCCCTCAGGTGTGAAAGGTGTTAGCCTTGAATGGGACATCCCAGGCAGGGCACCCTCAGGTGCGTGGTGCCAGCAGGGCCCTGCAGCCCCTGACTCTCCTCCTCAGGGGGAGCGCCTCTGCCTGATCCGCAAGGTGAATGAGAACTGGTACGAGGGGCGCATCCCGGGCACAGGGCGCCAGGGTATATTCCCTGCCAGCTACGTGCAGGTGTGCCGTGAGCCCCGGCTGCGGGTCTGTGATGATGGCCCCCAGCTCCCTGCATCTCCACGCCTGACCGCTGCCACCCGTATGGCCTGTCGCTCCAGCTCCCCTACAGTGCCACGCAGCCCAGCTGACCCCACCGACTGGGGAGGCCGGACCTCACCTCGTCGCTCTGGCTTCTCCTACCCTGTCCAGGAGCCCAGACCCCAGACCCAGGTGAGGTGGCTGCCTCAATCAGACCAGACCCCACTCCTATGACTGTTCCACTCTTGGGAATCATTTTGGACAGGCCCAGGATGAGTAGTGGGGTGATAGGGTAGAACCTGGCATTGCAGCCCCATCCTGGCCTGGGGGGACCCCAAGCTCCTCAGTTGGTATTGGCCTTTGGACACCAGCCCAGGGAAGCATGGGGCAGCTAGTCAGTTCTAGGTGGGCCACCAAAGCCAGCCCAGGCCTTCTGACCCTCCAGATGCCACTCTCTTGTGATTTATCTGTACATTCTGAGAAGGGTTGTAGGAAGTCAGGGCTCTGTCATTCACCTGCTGTGCCACCTTGGGCAGGTGACTTACCCTCTGGGTTTGAGTTTTCCCACCTGTAGAATGAGGGTAATAAATACCACTGCAGAGGGGAGTTGGATAGGTTTGAACTAGGAGTTTATTATAATTGCTGGGCAAAAGTGAGTCATTATTCCTAGTACTGAGGTAGCCCACAGGTATGTATTTGCTCCTACCCTCATCCATTCATTAGCAAACCTCTAAGAGCCAGGCATAACCAGTGCACCAGGCTCCTCCAGGGGTTTTTGGCATGGTCCATGCTGGTAGTCAGAAATCCAGTCGATTACCCTAGCTGGGTCTTCACTCCCTGGCACCTGCGAGGTGAAATGGGCATAGCGGATCCCCCTGTGTTGGGGGACCTGTGAGGATAAGGTGAGGCAGCGTGTAAGATGCTCTGATGGGTGGAGTAGGAGCCCCATCAGTTAGGTTCTCCTTTCTGCTTGGATGTACCCAACACTTTCTTCTCTCTGATCCTCTAGGTTCCTCCTGTGAACCCTCAGAATCCCAGAACCCTAGAGCCAGTTCTGTCCCACCCTCGAGGCACCAGCCATCCCCTGGATGTGGGGACCTCCTCCCCTAACACCTCTCAGATACACTGGATCCCGTAAGTACTATCTGAGGGTGCTTGGTCAGAGGTGGGGTCCTCCATGCTTCTCCTTCCCCCTACTCCCCACTGGAGGATATGGAAAACTTCTAGGTAGTGCTTGCCCTTGCAGAGCTTATAGGTGATTTGGGGGTAGGGGAAGAGGTGCTGGTCTGTGGTGTGTTCAGCTCCTCCCTGCCTGGCCTGGACACAAGCCTCCCACACTCAGCCTCCTGACCTCATGCTCTTCATTGGGTTTCTAGCCCTAAGGCCAGCTCACGTATAAATGAAGTGTAGGAACTGGTAGGACAAGGCACTGGGCTCTCAGAGGAGGGGAGGGTTAGTTTGTTGGGGCTGATAGCAGGAAGCAGGCTGGGGAAGAATGCACTGAAGCCAGGCAGAGTTGCCATTCTAGGAGCTGGGGTCTGGGCTCACAAAAGGACCATGGGCAAGTCACAGGAAGTGGCAACATTTGGGTCTAGAACCTCATCCTGGTCTGGGAAAGGGGCCAGGTCAATGGTGGCTGCCTTGACAACCTCCCTATCTTGCAGGTATCGGGCGATGTACCAGTACAGGCCCCAGAATGAGGACGAGCTGGAGCTGCGAGAGGGGGATCGGGTGGATGTCATGCAGCAGTGTGATGATGGCTGGTTCGTGGGTATGTGGGGTGCCCTGGGGGAGGGGGAGGGGCATCTGCCTGCCTTCCTTCATCATGCCTTGAAGAGGGCAAGGCCCTGGAGGGAACTGGCATCAGCCCAAGATCATCGCTGAAGTCACTGGGTACTCAGGACAGGGGTTCCTTCTGTTTCTTCTGCGGCAGTCCTAGGGGATGTTCCTAGTGGAAAGGACCTTTATACTTGTGTCTGGCCCCAACCGTGGTTAGCTTCTCCAGCCTGGGAAGAAGAGGGAGTGGAGAAAGATTCTGGCCCCTCAGGGCTGGCCCAGAGCAGCTCAGGCAAAAGACTAATACAGATAGCATCAGGTTGGCCTTGGCCTGTTCAAGGTGACCAATCCACCAGGCTTCACATGGCCCACCCTAGGGACAAACTGGTCAATATACAGAGGTGGTCAATATAAAGAACTAGGCCTACTATACTGATATGTACATATGGTGCATGTCTGGTTTATGAAAATTATATTAGGTCAGTTTAAGGAGGTGGTCAGTGAAGGGAGATGGTCAACTATGGAGGTTCTACTGTACTAATAAAGCTTTGCAAATTTATACAAACAAGAAGAAAAAGCACCGCTTTTGTGATATAAGCCGCAAGTGCTTTGAGAAGAATGATTTAGAACTGTGCCATCCAGTGTGATAGCCACTAACCAAATGTGGCTGTTTAAATGTCAAAGTGAAATAAATTTAGAGGCTGGGTGTGGTGGCTCACGCCTGTAATCTTAGCACTCTGGGAAGCTGAGGCAGGTGGATTGCCTGAGCTCAGGAGTTGGAGACCAGCCTGAGCTAGAGCGAGACCCCATCTCTAAAAAAACAGGCAGCCTGGTGGGTGGTGGGTGCCTGTGGTCCCAGCTACTTGGGAGGCTGAGGCAAGAGAATTGCTTGAACCCAAGAGTTTGAAGTTGCTGTGAGGTATGATGCCATGGCACTCTACTGAGGGTGACAAACTAAAACTCCATCTCAAAAAAAAAGGAGTTCAGTTCCTGAGTCACACTGACACGCTTCAAGCACTCAGTGGCTGAATGTGGCTAGTGGTTATAATTTTGGACAGTGCATGTTGTCTGGGAGGGTTTTCTGGAGGAAGTGGAAGACAGTGGGGCCTGGAAGGCCAGGGGAAGGGCATCTTCAAGGGTGGGGCTCGGATGAGGGGCAGGGGCTGGAGATGCCAGGCTGGAAGGGAATGCCTCAGAGCATCAATTTGCCCAGGATCAGGACCGACTTTCATTTTAGTTGATATTCCTATATTTCTAGTATTCCCGCCTCTTTCTCTTCAGGACACAGGCTTTCTCTAGGGTTGTAGCAGACCAGAGGTCTGAACTGTAGTCCTGACTCCCAAGCAGCTGAATGTTTTGGGTCAATTCACTGGGCCTTCTCTTGGTCTTACCTGTCCATCTTGAAATTGAGGGCGTCATACCTGGCCAGTGAGGTTCCTCCCCACTAAAGTTCCATGATTCATACTGCTGCACCCTCTACTTTCCTGAAGAAGGGTGGAGTTAGTGAGTTATGTGTGCAAAGTTCTTCGCATGTTGATTGCAGATTTATTCTTTAATTGTTGAATTTAGGAAGTGCAAAACGGCCCCTCTGAGCTTCTGCCACCAGGGGGCAGGAATGCGGACAACAAATCAAATCCCTCGCCCGGGGAAAGGGCCTCCGCCTGCAGTACTGGATATGGCCAGCAGGGGGCAAGACCCTCAACCCCCATATTCCTGGTCGAGCTAAGAGTGTGAGGAAGGCTCTTTCTGTCTTTCCTCTTTCAGGTGTCTCCCGGAGGACCCAGAGATTTGGAACGTTCCCTGGAAACTACGTTGCCCCGGTGTGAGTGGTCTCCGTGGCAACTCGGAGCCAGCCAGGATGGGGTGGGGAGCAGTAGCACTTATGGAAAGGAGAGCCGACCGCCCCCATCCTCCTTCCTCAGGACCGGCATCTGCAGACGACCCCAGCAGCCTTTCCCTATGAGCCCCTACGAAGCCCCCTGGACTGATTTCCACCCACAACTCACAGGCATTCTTCCAACAGCCCTTTCATTTCCTCCCCACCCCACTCCCAAATATAGAGGTCTGCTTTGAAGCAGAGACTGTTTCCAGGCCTTATTGAGACCAGACTCCTGGGTTTCCCACCCCCACCCAGCTATGGCTGCTTCCGCTAACAGGGACCAGCTCCCCCTTTATCCCCCATAGAGTTCCTCTAACAAGGACCAGCTTCCTAACCTCACGGAGACCAAAGGCCTCCTCTGCCTGGAGGGGTTCCTCTCTTCTAGCTGCAGCTTTCCACTGCCCCCTTTGCCTTCTTACTTCCAGCCTGGCCTGGGAGCAGAGGTAGGGGACAGGTATAGCACCTCCTCCGCTCCAGGCCCAGCAAGGTCTTCCTTGAAGGCCTGCTCTGTCCAAAGGCTGCCACACCCAGAGCTTGGGCTCTGCACCTCTGGTTTGGCGCAGATGTTTAACAGGGAGACTGATGTTGCTGCCCTCCTGCCTGCCACCTCTCCCCCAGTGCCCAGGCTCCCTCTGGAAGAGAATGTAAAATAAATCTGGATACCAGGAACCTTGTCTCAGAAACCTTTTCCTCTGGGGTGGGAGAGGCCTCCCCTGGTTTAGGATTATGGAAATTCTTTCATGGGCTGTGCTGGGAGTCAGGTGAGACAGGTGTGTGTGTAAAAGGAGGATGGAAAACATCGTTATTATCTTCCCAGATTTCAGCCCTCGGTATCAAGTAGGATGGGGCAGCTCCCAGGATTGGGCTGTTGCCTGAGAAGGGCTGAGAGGATGAATGTCACCCAGACCAGGGCAAGGCCTGACTGTGGCAAGAAATCAGAGATGGGAAACTGAATGTGGCCTTGTTTGCAGGCTGTTTTGATTCTGGAGCCGCCACCATGGGGTTGCTGGACTAGATGACATTTCTGACTATTCTGCTGCTAATGTTTTCCTTCTGTGTGCTCCATTTCCACACCGAAGCTCTCGTGTGTTTGTTTGTTTTCTTCTTTGGGCTCAAGTTTTTGAGCATTCAGTTTTGGGAAGCTGGAAGTGGTAGGAGAAGCCAGCCAAAGCAGCTCTTCTGGCCCAAGGTTTTAGAGTCTTGGGACTTAGTGGTTCCTGTGGACAGGGGCACAGCTTGGGTGTGGCTGTTCTGCCAAGAAAGGAAAGCTCCATTCCTTGGCTCCTCCTGCGTGCTGAGCAGGGAGGGCATAAGGGGCTACTCAGTGTGTTATCTAGTGTAAGCCTCACAACTGGCAGATTAGCATTCCCTTTTACAGAAGGTGAAAGTGAGGCTCTGTGCAACTAAGTTGTATAGGCCACAGCATTATTAAATGTCCACCTCATTGCACAAACTCTACCAAATGCCCAGATAGACCTTGTCCAAAAGCCCCACTCTTTTGGAGAAGGAAGGTCATGCATGAGGTCAGGGACTTCCCTGGGTAGCCAGGGTTGGGCTGCTTTTATGTTCTTCCTGGCAAACCTGTCTCCTAGACCTGTCACTTAAAAGGTGCCCCTGCCCCAGGCAAGTGGGCAGAGGTGGTGCCTCCTGCCACAGAGAGGGGAAGTGCCTCTGGCCGACAGGCCAGTGTCTCGGCCCTGGCAGGTTTCTTGAGCTTGGGTGAGGCTTGGGCCCCAGCAGTGGTTCAACAACAGCTTGAAGAACAAGACCAACATGCACCCCATCCATTCCACCCACACCCGTCCTCACCTCGGTCTGGTTCTAAGTTGACAGGTCCAGCCCATGGTGGCCTGCCATTCCCCCATACCAGCTCCTGTGGCTTGTATTCCCTGATGTCCTCATAAGACACCAGGGTTGAGTCCTCCCCTCCTTGGGGCGAAACCAAATCCACACCCTCTCTTTCATGGGGCCTGGAACCTGCCATGGCAGCAGGTGAACCCTGTACCGCTGGGTCGCTTGCCACCATGGTCCCAACTGTAAGATGACCACTTCTATGCCTTGCCTGGCCAGGGTGGGGAGCAGTAATGGGAGAGAGGGCCACACAGTCACCCAGAGCAGGACAGTATTCCCTCTGTGCCTCATAGTCATGCCCTGGATCTGGTGCTGGGTTCTGTTAATACACAACCCACCAGACAGAAAACCCCGCAAATTAACCTGTAGATATTTATAGAGACAGCCCAAGACACACAGGCGTGTTCCTCTGAGGGCAGCCTAGCTTTGTATTTGGCTCACTACTCCATTCCCAGATCCTAGCACAGAGCCTGGCCACAGTGGGCATGCAATAAATATTTGCTAGCTGAATATTATTGGAATGATTGTGTGGATGAATTAAGTGACTTTTCCTTCCTTTGCCTTCCTTCCCTGTCACCCCATGCCCTGAATCAGTGGTGGAGACTCTGCTTTGCACCTCTTTGCAATCCCTGGACTTTGCCTGTGGAGAGCCATCTACACAACAGGAGGGTAAGTTATGAATTATCCCCATTTTACACACGTTGAAACTGAGGCCAGGAGGAGCTGAGGAAATTTCCTAAGGTCATAGTTAATAAGAGGCATGTGAGGCTAGGTCTGTGTGACCCCAAGGCTGTGCTTGCCCCATCTGTAATGTCCTGCTCAAAAGGCTTCCAGTCTAGCTGGGGAGGTACACGGCTGCATCAGGTAACATGGCCATGGCCGGAGGCATAAGATTGGTCAATGGGAGAGCAGTTTACACACCCTGCCTGGACAGAGGTGTGGAGGTGGGGGCAGGACTGGACTGCAACTGAGCAGGGAGGGTGAGGCACTGGGCACAGGTAGGTGAGGAGGGGAGGCAAGAGCACGCCTCAGAGGGAATCTGACGGGATGACTCACACCTGAGGCAGGCAGGTTACAGCTGTGCCCGCAGGTGTGCTCCCCTGAAAACAGCAGTCTGGCAGCCAGAGTGCCAAGTTGAGACCCAACCAGAGACGCAGGAGGAGGCACTGAGGTCCCCAGGGTGAGGGTTGCCAGGTATAGCTTCTCCTTCCTGAGCTGGCATCTGGGGCCCCTCCTTGACTGTCCTCTCCTGGGGTTCCAGGTGGTTGGCTGAGGGTGCAGGTGGCAGTCAGGAATGAGAAGGCTTCAGCCCCCGAGTAGGGGTACCGGTAGTGACCCCAGCCAGGAGGCCCTCTTCGTCTCCTCCGGGCCCTGGTGGGTTGCCCAGAGCAGTACAGGCTTGCTGGCATCTCAGGCAGGGACCAGGGCCAGCGCGGTCCTGGAGGGGAGTTTGAGCAGGAGGGAGGGCATCTGCGCGTCCGAGTCGCGAGTGGGCGGAGGAGCAAGCAACCGCAGACACACCCAGCCAGCCTTTGCGCCTGGGGCGTGGGGTGTGTGTGGGGGGGGTGGTCATGGGCCCCTTTGAAGGTGGGTAGGGGGAAGCGGCCGGCCAGGGAGAGCTTTAGGAGGCGGCAGCCTCAGCAGTCTGCGACTTCAGCCGCCCGCCCCGGGAACCGCTCCCCTGCGCCCGAGGCCAATCAGGAAAGCGCGAGCGCCTTTGGGAGCACGGCTGCAGCCCCCAAGGGGCTCTGCGAGTGTCTGTCCCCTTACCCAGTGGGGCGGCCCAGGTGGCAGCGCCCGGGCTCGCAGCGCGGAGGCGGCGGCTTCCCGGGCCAGGGGCGGCGGTAGGGGCGGCCCCGGGATCACATGGGCGGAGGCAGGTCTCTGAGCCCCGGGCGGGCTCTCCCCAGAGCCGGGCGGACCGCGGCGGGAGCGGCGGCGACTCCTCGCCCTTCTCCCTCCTTCTCGCCCCTCCCGGCCCGACAGGTGAGCGACAGCCAGGTGAGCGCGCCCACCTGAGCACCCTCCGCGCCCTGCCGCATCCTTCCCCGCGCCCCCCGGCCCCTGAGCGCTGAGACCCTGTGCTCCGCCCGCAGCGCCGCTCCCTGCGGCCTCGGCTCTGGCGTCCTCGCCGGCTGGGCTCTCCCTGACCCGATCCGGCTCGCCTCCTCCAGTCCCCAGCCCCCGGGGTACTTTGGCCTGGGAGCAAAGAAGGCTCTAGAACTGGGAGAGCCGGGCCATCGGGCTGGGCTGGGCACCTCCCCGCGGCGCCCTCATCGCGGAGTCCTCTGACAAGCTCAAAGGTCTGGGAATCTCAGGGCGACTGTGAGCTGCCAGCGCTGGCCTGAGGACCTGAGGACCTGGGGCCCAGGGGAGGGACAGAGGCCAGGCCTGGGCAAAAGGGAGAAGCCAATAGGCTGGGGATGGGGCAGGCAGACCTGCTGGCTGGGGTGCCCCTCTCTCCGGGCCCCCTTGTTCTTGATGGGTGGCGGCAGTCTCTGCACCTCCCCAGGGGCTGCCCCAGAATGGGTGCTGGGCAGGGTGGTGCCCAGCCTGGCACTGCAGCTTCCTGCCTAGGTTGGCTCTTGGCTCCAGAGCTAGAGCCTCAGGAAATCCCACAAGGGCCTGTCTGCAAAGTCACTCCCTCGCCCAGTGGAGGGGGCAGTAGATGGGAGGCCTGGTCACCCTGGCCGACTTCAGCATGGGTGAGCTCACTCTCCGCTGGCACCATGGTGTGCCCAGCTTGACAGATGAGCCCTGGTCCTTTCCCGGGCTGTTCAGAGGGCAGCAGGCCCAGGGTCGGGGAGGTAAAAGCCTGGTCTTGCCCATTCTAGCCCCTCAGTCCAGCCAGCTCCCCACCTGGCCAGCTACCTGCACAGTCTGTGCTAGTGCCACCCATTCCTCGCACCATCACTCCTGTCTCCAGAGCTTTGCCATCTCTGGGCCGCTTGCTTGCCCTCCCCCAGAGTGGGGAGGAAGTATCTTGTGCTGTTGGTTTTGGGGACAGGAAGCAAGCAATAGTGGGACTTAACCCCAGTGGTGGAGGAGGGGAGAGACAGGAGGGCCTGACCTCTCCTGCTGCCTACCAGCCCCTGCACATCCATCCATCCTCCAGCAAGCCCCCACTGGCAGCCCGGACAACCCTCCTGGGAGCTGCTGACTGGGCTGAAGACTAAAGAAGGGGGAACCCAGAGTCATGGCTTCCCAGGGTGGGGGGAAGTGAAACTCAGGGGGAAGGGAGGGACTTAGTCACTTCCTGCACCTACCCCAAGCCCAGGACTGGCTGCTCTGGGACCTCCAGTCCCTCTTCTCCTCTTGCTGCTCTCCTGCCACCTTACAGGTGCTTAGGGCCCCACCTCTTTGTCCTCTCTCCCTTAGGTATGGCGCTGACAGTGGATGTGGTCGGGCCAGCACCCTGGGGCTTCCGCATCACAGGGGGCAGGGATTTCCACATGCCTATCACGGTGACCAAGGTAAGGGGTTTCTTCCAGGAGATAAGGAGGTCCCCCACAAGTGAGATCTGCCCTATCCACCCTGCTGCTCGCCCAGAACTTTTTTCTGTTCTGGAGCCAGAAGCCTGCTGCTGGGAGTGCTGGCCAGGGAGAGTTGGGACCCTGTCACCTTGGGAATATCATGACCATTTCAGAAACAGGCCTTAGAAGTGAAAGGGGCTGCACCAAGGACGGCCTGCCCCTTTCCCCTGGGTCACTAACCCCACACCTGCTGGAAGCTATTTTGGGTGGTTATTGGAACAAAAGCCCTGTGAGTTCTTGGCAGTTTCCTCTGGACCCAGGCCTGAGCCCAGGCTGGGGAGTGTTCCCACAGAGCACCTTTTGCAGGCAGCCACCTGCAAGGTATGATCTGCATGGGCATGGCTCTCTATCTAAAAGTATTTCCAAGCACAGTTCCTGAAATTCCGCCACTGCACATTCTTTAGGAGGCCTCTGTTAGAAGTTAGGATGCCACTGTGGGGCAGGGGCTGCCACCTGAGCCCCTGAAGGGGATAGCTGGTCAGCTGGGCAGACTGACCAGCAGGGAGAGGGATGTTAAGGGGTACAGGCCAGGCTAGTTCAGCCCACTTCTGTGTTTCTTGGGCAGCAAAGAGGGAAATCCCTTCCCTGAGTGCCCTGTTGCCTGGACATGGGTACTTCAGACTCACCAGCTCCTCATCCCTACAGGTGACTGAGCAGGGCAAGGCTGAGGCTGCTGACCTCCGGCCTGGTGACATCATTGTGGCCATCAATGGGGAGAGTGCGGAGGGCATGCTGCACGCTGAGGCTCAGAGCAAGATCCGCCAGAGCCCCTCACCCCTGCGGCTGCAGCTGGACCGGTAAGCCACCACCTCTGCTGGGCCTGCCAGCATCCTCACTCCCCTCCGTAGCCCCTACCACAGCCTAGAGCTCAGCCCAGGCCCTGCCAGCACAACTTGGAGAAGGTCTCAGGCTCTGGGCCCTGCAGCAGGAGAGAGGGGTGCTCCTATAGCCAGCCAAGTAAAGGTGGGCGCTGGGCTGGGCATGCAGCCACAGGCTGGGCAGGGTGAGCTGGCACCAGCCACCTGGAAGCCGGGTTTGACTGGTTCCCAAGAGTGTGCAGGGCACAGGGTGTGGGCATGAAGTGGTTGAAGAGGGGAAACTTGTGGGTAAAGTGTGCCCTGGGCTGAGTCTCCAGAACTCCTGCCTCCAAGAGAGGATGGCATTTGTTTAGATCTCAGTTGGGGGTGAGGAGTTTGGGGGCTCATTCCTCATAGAGCCCATCTGTTCCTCCCTTCACATTTCTGAGCCCTGCAGGTGAAGGCAGGTTCCTGGCTCTAGCTCGCCTGTAATGTTTGAGCCTAGAGGCTGGCAGAGGCAGGGGCAAGGGTGGGGCCTGAAGCCCAGGCTGTTGGGGGAACAGGTGGCTCCCTGGGGTGGGGCATCATAGTGAGTCACATATCAGGAATGCTGGAAGATCCCCAGTGAGGAGATCCCTCTGGGCAGGCCTGGAACCCCAGTCAGACACTCCTGTCTCTTGGCCACTCCCACTGCTTGGCTTCCTTGGGGCTCCCACCTCACCTGGCTACCCTGCAGAAGTGGGGTGCTTCAGAAACCTGGTGCTGAGGACGGCTGCTCTCTTCATGCCACTTTGGCTCTGAGTGTTTGCAGGAGTGAGACCTGGAGGAGGAGGTAGAGAGTACCTCATAGCATCTGGGAATAGGACCAAAATCTACAGGAGGCTGCAGTCTGGGCTGGGGGCGGGAGTTGCTGACACCATCACTTCTTCTCAGGTTCCTCTGCAGGGACAGCCAGAGAGAGGCGGGCCCCAGCGCTGTAGGTCTCTGCTGCACACCTCAGCCTGCAGTTCTGCCAGGCAGGCCAATGCTTCTGGTCTCTTTTTACTTGTGCCAGTCTGCCCCCTGACCCCTAGGACACCTCTCTGGCATTCAGAAGCCAAGGGACAGGGGCGCCTGTAGCTCAGTGGTTAGGGGCTGGTGGGTTTGATCCCAGACTGGGCCTGCTAAACAACAACAAAAAATAGCTGGGTGTCATAGCGGGTGCCTGTAGTCCCAGCTACAAGGGAGGCTGAGGCAGGAGAATCACTTGAGCCCAAGAATTTGAGGTCGGGGTGAGCTATGGCACCATGGCACTCTACCAGAGGTGACAAAGTTAGACTCTGTCTCAATTAAAAAAAAAAAAAAGCCAAGGGGTAGAGAGCAGAGTTCCCCTTGCTTTGCCCCGCACCCCTCCTGCAAGCCTTGGGTTCCTAGTGACCTACCCTATAGATGTAGTCCAGGAATGGTGTGGCAGGATAGGACGCAGCAGGCTTTCTCCCCACCCCCTATCCAGCTCCTGGCCTCCAGTGACCTCCTGTCCAAGGCTCCAGCTGGGATCCACTTTGGAAGGAAACCCTCTTGTTGGCAGGGAGCTGGGCCTGCCCTGCTCTGTGGGCCCTTCACTGCCCGTCTGAGGGGTCAGAGAGGTTTCAACCTTTATTTAACAGGGGTGAGGCCTGAGGAAGGGACTGGGAGTGACCCTCTCAAAGGCATTCCAGCCATCAGTGGCTGAGCTGGTAGGGGACAAGCCTCTGAGTGGGGGAGAGTGGGCAGCTGGCCAGTGCACTAATGGGCTTTTGGACTTTGGGCAGCACACTGCCCTTCTCTGGGCTTCAGTTTCTCCATCGATTATGACATAAAGTAGCAGTTCTCACTGTGTGACCCCTTTTTAACAATGAAAATACATTGTGGCATAGGAAGGTTGAGAACCACTAATATAAAAAATTACTTGGCTTGGCACCTGTGACTCAAGCGGCTAAGGTGCCAGCCACATATACCAGAGCTGGTGGGTTCGGATCCAGCTTGGGCCCGCCAAACAACAATGACAGCAGCAACCAAAAAATAGCCAGGCATTGTGATGGGCACCTGTAGTCCCAGTTACTTGGGAGGTAGAGGCAGGAGAATCACTTGAGCCCAGGAGTTGGAGGTTGCTGTGAGCTGTGATGCCACGGCACTCTACTCAGGGCGACAGCTTGAGGCTCTATCTCAAAAAAAAAAAAAGAAAAATTACTTACATGCAATTAGCAATCTTCCCCCAAACTGAGCTACAAACTGATGCTGACCAGTGACAAAGTCTAGATGAAATGGGAGAAAAAGGTGGAGACAGATAATGTGAGGAATTTTTAATAAATTTTTAATTCCTTATTTAAAAGGAATTTTTAATAAAATTGAATTTTATTGAGTGTTTTGCTAATATTCTGGGCTTTCTGTATTTTAGTACCAAACTGTCCTTTTATTTTAAGAAATGATAGTGGTCATTGATAGTAGTTTGTTTTGAATTTGGCAAAATTAAGGCCAGGCACCATGGCTTACTCCTGTAATCATAGTACTCCAGGAAGCTGAGGTGGGAGGATCACTTGAGGTCAGCAGTTCAAGACTAGGCTGAGCAAGAATAAGATACCATTTCTATAAAAATTCCAAAAATTGGCTTGGCACCTGTAGCACACTGTGGTTACAGCACCAGCCACATACATCAAGGCTGGTGAGTTCAAACCCGGCCCAGGCCAGCTAAACAACAATCACAGCTACAACTAAAAAATAGCCAGGCATTGTAGTAGGTACCTGTAGTCCCAGCTACTTGGGAGGCTGAGGCAAGAAAATTACTTAAGCTCAAGAGTTTGAGGTTTCTATGAGCTGTGATGCCACGGTACTCTACTGAGGGTGACATAGTGAGGCTCTGTCTCAAAAAAAAAAAAATCCAAAAATTAGCTGGGTGTTGTGTCAGGTGTCTATAGTCCCAGCTACTAGGGAGGCTAAGGTGGGAGGATTGAGCCCAGGAGCTTGACATTGCTGTGAGCTATGAGGTTGGACAATTAAGTTCAAGAGCTCACCCTAGAAAAAGTGCTACATACCTCATTGCTGAATATCACTACAGTCACCTTCAAGGTCCTCCCTTTGGGAAGCTATATACAGATACCAGTACCTAGTCCACCCTTCAAAGCAATTGTGGAATGGCCATCAGAGCTATCATGTGTATAAGGTCTGACAATTAAGTTCGAGACTCATCCTAGAAAAAATGATGACACCACTGTGTTCTATCCCAGGCAACAGGCCCTGTCTCAAAAAAAAAAAAAGTTGCTAGTCTGATGTCCAAAAGTTTGGGGTGTCTTACTAGTCTTGAGAACCAGGTCTGGGAACAGGTGGGCCCTATGACATTCCCCTCCCTCTGTATCTTCGGTAGGTCTCCAGTTGCCTCTCCCAGGCAGACCAACGGGGAGAGCTCCTTGGAGGTGCTGGCCACTCGTTTCCAGGTAAGCTGGTGCCTCCCACCTGGGAGCCTCATACCCTGAGCACCTTGGTGTGAGCAGTAGGGCAGCCTAGCTCTTCCCTTGGCCTCTCTCTCCACAGGGCTCTGTGAGGACGTACACTGACAGCCAGTCCCCGCTGAGGTCTTCCTACTCCAGCTCAGCCTCCCCGAGCCCCCGGCCAGGCAGCCCCTTCTCTCCCCTGCCCCCTGCCAGCCCACAGGCTCAGGCTGCAGAGGCAGCCATCAGCCACAGGTAAGCGCATTCTATCAGCACCCTGGTGGCCTGCACCTGGCTTCTCAGGGCCTCAGGAGCCTGCACCTGGCTTCTCAGGGCCTTAGGAGTACCCCAGGCAAGTTGGGTGTGGCCTCGGCATACATGCTGTCTATTTCCCATTTCAGTTTCCAGAGCCTGGCATATTCCCCGGGATTTGCCGCCGCTGACCGCCTGTCCTATGGAGGCCACCCCAGAAGCCGGCAGGTGAGGCCCCCTGGGGGAAGGAGAGAGCCAAAGAAACAGAGGCGGCCCCCATTCACTGGTTACCAGTGCACCTGGGGCTGCAGGTGGCAGGTCCCACCTGGGCAGTGCTGGCTCCTTCTCCTAGCGACAGGCGCTCCTCTCCTGGGCCAGGGAGGCCTGAGCCCTGCCTGGCTGGGTGGCCCGTCCACCTCCTGCCCTCCTCTGCACCATCACTCCCTGCTCCCACGGCCCTTTTCTCCGGAGTTTGCTGGCTTCCTCCCTTCTCTGTGTTTCTCTTGGGCTGAAGCTGAAATAGTTTCACTGCTGCTATTGGGCTGGTTCCCTTTTGGGGCTGGCTGCATCACTCGAACACATTCCTCCCTATTCCAAGCCCCATGCCTGCCCGACTCCCACCCCAGCCCCCTCTCCTCCTCTGACTCAGCTGCAGATCCCCGTGGGACTATGGCTCTGTCTCCAGCTGCACTTAGCTTATCCTCTGTCTCCTCTTCCCCCTGACTTCCCCTCCACCAGGTCCCATTGGCCACTGGTGATAGCTTGGCCCCCCACCCGGGTGGTGTCTCTTCTCTCCAAGAGCAGGGGTGGAGTGGTGAGGGAGAGGGGCAGCCAACAGTCCTGGCCACAGCTGCTGGGGGCAGCATGGGGGGGTATGTCCTGCTTTAGGGTGAAGGGGATGAGGCCCAGCTGCAGGGACCTACCTCTGATCCATTCTACATTCCAGGAAGCAGAGCCTCTGAGGGTGGCCTGGGGGCCCTGGAGAAAGAAGGAGCAGGACCTTCCAGGGGCTGTGTGGGAGGGGCTCCCTGGCGACCCACTGTATGCTTAGCCAGGCACCTTGGCCACAGAGATGTGTCCCTGAGTGCCCCTCTTTAAGGAATTTAGATGTAGTGGTGGAGATAAGGGAGGGAGCATGCAAAACAATTTTGGAGCAATTAGGGACTAACAGTGTGGTATTAATTACGGAAGCAGGAGGCATTCTGGGGGGAGGGCCTGGGAAGGCTGTGTCAGGAATCTTGCTGGATATTAGAGGTGGGAGCTGGCAGGGTTGAGGTTAGAGAGTGATGGGGGACACTGGATACTGGTGGGGTGGGGGGAAGCAGTGGTACAGGCGGATTGTGGCAAGTGAGGCTGGGAACCATTTCTGGAGTAGGGAGGCTTTGCTCTGAGACAAGCTGGAATGCACTTGGCCTGGGGCTAGAAAGGTGGTCAGCCCTCCCTTATTCCAACTGAGCCTGCAGAGGGCTGTGGCCTCTGAAGGTCAGCCTTGTGGGGGTGGGGGAGGTACCAGGGAGTGGTTCTCAGACCAGCAGCAATACCCAAGCACTTGGCAGAAATGCAGCTTTTTAGGCCCCAGCCTGGACTTATGATGTGGGCACAGGGCTGTGGTGCAGCAGTCTCTGTTACTAAAACAAGCCCTCACATAGGACATGGAGGTACTCAGGGCTGGATAGCAGGGAGCCTGGTTGGGTCCTAACTCTGCTACGTGACCTTGGACAAGCCCATTTCCTTTCTCTGGGCCTTAGGTCAGACTAGATGCCCTGGGTTCCCTCCTCTGCCCTGAGGGCCCTGGAGTCATTCCTCTAGCAGCTGCTTCACATCAGACACCCTTCTAGGCTTTGGGGTTCATTAGCAGAAAAACAGAGACAATCTAACCCTGAGAGATGATGTTCTGATCAACAAACCTACAATTGAGGCTGGGTGGTGGCTCATGCCTGTAATCCCAGCACTCTGGGAGGCCGAGGCGGTGGATTGCTTGAGCTCACGAGTTCAAGACCAGCTTGAGCAAGAGCAAGACCCCATTTCTACTAAAAATAGAAAAATTGAGGCAAGAGGATCACTTAAGCCCAAGTGTTAGAGGTTGCTGTGAGCTTTAATGCCATGGCACTCTACGACAGCTGTGAGCTTTGATGCCATGGCACTCTACCCAGGACGACAGCTTGAGACTCTGTCTCAAAAAACAAAAAACCTACAAATGAGGCTGTGGTCCACCCAATGGGTGTGGGAGTCTCAGGGGTCCCACGGCTTCCAGTTGAGAGAGGCTGTACGTTTTAGCATCTAACGGCTCTAAGAAACCCATTCAATTTTATTAATTTCCTAAACTTGCTTAGCCGCAGAATTTCTCCTGCCTCCCCACCCTCACCACTTGTGAACATCCTCGTGCTTCCCGGCTTCACACAAGCTCTTGATGGGCAGGGGGATGGGGAGCAGCTTTTCTGGACTTAGAAGTAGAGGGTCCCTCCTTTGAAGGCAGGGGCCTAGCACCTGGGAAGGAGGGAGGTTCTAGAAGGCAGGCCCTCTCTAGGTGAAGGAGCTGGGTGGGTGCTTCCTCCCCTGGGCCTGCTGGGCAGGTGCTCGTGGGAGAAAGGGCTGATGGATGGGGGACAAGGTGCCATGGCCTTGTAGCTGGCCAAGACTGTAGAGAGCTCGAGGCATAGGACACCACCGGCCCTTATGGTGCCCTTCTGGAAACTGTGAGTTTCCCCCTGCTGTGGGCACATGCCTTGGTAAACAGATGCCAAGTGAACAAAGCACCTCTCCCTCTGTCAGGGAATGAGGACTTGGCTTGTGTGGGACACACAATGGCCCATATGGAGAGTGGGCCATCACATGGTCCCTCAGTTGACCACACAGCGCCAGGCCCTGTGTGCGGAGTCCCAGCCTTGCCTTTGCCCGGGGGCTTGGACCAGCCACTTTGCCCTCTGACTGGCAGCCTTGTCACCTGCAGAACCCCAGAGCAGGGAAATGTGAACTGCAGTAAGAGGCCAGGTGGGGTGAGAGTCTAGGTGTCTACTCAAGACTGAAGATTTAGCTTTTAGCTTAAGGATTCATGTAATTTTTTTCATTCAACCCCATAATTCATCTGTGACTTCCAATTTAAGGTCTAAAGAAGTTGGATTCCCAGGAACAGTTCCCACTGGGCTGCCTGGCTCTGCTCCCACGGGCTGGCACAGGTTACTCAGACTCCATTAGGAAGGGGGCAGAGTAGAGGAGTATGGGCCAGAAAGTGGCCTCTAGGAGTGACAGTGAGGTTGACTTCCATGCTGAGAGCAAATGTAAGAGCCCAGAATGACTAAGGCATACCTGGGAGGGCTGTGCTGCCAGGTGTAGACCCTGGGTGGCCTTGACCTCCCAGGGCAGTGGGAGAGGCTGGTCAGCCTAGTCTGGCCTCTCAGGAGAGCCACAGCACATATTAGGGAGAGAGGCCTCTGTCCAGGCCGGGCCCTGCACCTAGAGGGCCTTGGATCCTTCACACCACCCCTTCTGTTTCCATCTCCTCACTGCTTACTGTTTGCCTGTTGTGGCAGCTAGGGGCTGAGCCCTGGCTTGCAGCGTCTTTGATCACACAGAGCATGATGTAATAGAGAGGAGTCTGCACAGGGGAACTTCTGTGTTCTGCTTTTCTGTCACCTGGTGTCTTCATTCTGCCCCTTGCCGGGTCCCCTCCCAGAAGCCCCACACCTCCACTGACCAGCTAGGCCCTGGCCTCCTCCCCTCCCAGAACTTAGCACGCTTGGAGCCCTGGCTCTGAGGGCAAGGCCGGGCATTGGTCAGCAGGGGCCAGGAGCCCTCTGGTGTTGGGCCTGGGAACAGCCAGGCCTGGCGCCCTGTGGTGTTGGCTAGAGCCCCGGCCCTGACTCCTCCCGCTGTCTCCCCACAGGCCGGCCTTGGCCGCGCTGGCGACTCTGCCGTGCTGGTGCTGCCGCCTTCCCCGGGTGGTGCCCGCTCCTCCAGCCCCAGGCTCAGGTACTAGCAGGCCCTGGGCAGCTGGGGAGGGGAGTCCTGGAGGGCTGGGAAGGGCCGGAGGGACAGGGCCCCCTCTAAGCCCAGCTGGCTTTCTTCCAGCTCCCAGAGCCCTCCCCCCTTGTCCTACCCTGGGCATGGGACCCTCATTCCTGCCTGCCTCCTTCCTGCAGTGTGGACTTAGAAGGCGGAAGCCACCTCCTGGACGAGGACTCAGAAGTCTTCAAGATGCTGCAGGAAAATCGTGAGGGGCGGGTGGCCCCCCGGCAATCTAGCTCCTTTCGGCTCTTGCAAGAAGCCCTGGAGGCTGAGGAGAGAGGTGGGCCCTGGAGCTCCGGGAAAGGAGGGTGCCCTGGGCAGCTGGGCCCTGGCTGAGAGGTCAAGGCGCTAGTGTCTCTTTAGTGCTCACCATGGGGCCAGGTACCCATCCCTGTGTGTGGCAGTCTGGGTCTGCACTGGGAAGGTATTGGGATCAGGAAAGCGCCAAGGGCATAAAGCAGGTGGTGGGGCCCATGGGATCTGAGTCTCTAGGGAGGGCGAGGAATCTGACTTGGCCCTCAGAAAAAAACAGACTCTATAGACTTAAATGGCCTTAAGGTGGTGGCAGCAGGCCCAGTGGCGTGGAGGGTGGCAGCGGAGGTCAAGTCACTCAGGAGAGCCAGTTAAATAATGACCCTAGGTGGCTGTTAAGTGAGCAGTGCAGGCCCTGTGAGCTCTCACCAGCAGTCAATTATTCATTTGACAAACGCTGGCAGTACCTGTCTGATGGGCCAGGTGTATGCAGAGTGTGGGGAATCAAAGGTGGTTGTGCCCTGATGTTCCCCATGAGGGACTACAGAAGGTGGCTCAGGAAAAACACCCTTTAGAGAAGTGGGGAAGGGTCACTGCCCTGTCCAAGGATGTGATGGGACAGGCAAGGAGAGGTATTTGAGTGGCAAAGTGACCAGTACCTGGTGGCCGGTTCCAACTCGACAGTTAGCTCCAAGGGGCATTTTGGCAGGTATGCAGTGGAGGTGAGGAGGTTTGGAGCAGATCTTGCCCATAAGGACTCTGAGGCTGTGGCAGGCCCCGGGAGGCAGGTGCAGGGGAGGAAGAATGTAGGTGTTGATGGCCGAGGGACCCTCAGCACCCTCAGCTACAAACAGGACCAGCAGCCAGCCGGTTGTCCCTGCTCAGTTGTCCCACAGCTCAGATGTGATAACTGCATGCAAAGGCCCTTTGAAAACTTCATGGCGGTGCTGTGGTAGTGTGGTGGGTGGGGTTACTACCCCCACATCATCACTACTAGGTCCCAAAGAGCGAGTGCGCTTCCCTTCCCAGACATCAAGCAGGGCCGGCCCCAGATTGCCTCAGAAGGCAAACCTGGCCCTGACCCTGCCTCCTTCCTGCTGGTGACCAGCCTCAGCCATAGGTCTGGTGTGATCACCTTCCTTCCTCCTCACCTGCTCTTACACTCCTTGTGACTTTAGAGGTTCCCCTGTAAGGGTGCCTTCTACAGCCACCTTCTTAGTGTGGCTTTGGGAGGAGCTGGGGTGCTGGGTGGTGCTAGTGGTGGCTGCGCCCTCACATGTATGTCTGTTCCCCCATCCCAGGCGGCGCGCCTGCCTCTGTGCCCAGTTCCCTGAGCCCTCAGGCCTCCCTGCCCACCTCCAGAGCACTGGCTACCCCTCCCAAGCTCCACACCTGTGAGAAGTGCAGCACCAGCATCGCGTGAGTGTGGGATGCTGGGGGCCATGCTAGCGGGGGATACGGGGCACTTATACACTCAGGAAGGCTGGGCCCACCAGGGACCCAAGGGGAGGTGCTGCTCCTGTGGCTTTGGGGTGGGTTATTTGCAGCCTGCTTGGAATGCCTGCGCTGGCCTCTTCCGGCCACAGCTCCTCCTCCTTCCCCCTCCCTTTAATAATCTCAGAGCCTGTGGACAGGATACCTCCTCCTGAAAAAAACAGGCAAGATTTTCCCCAGGCAGGTTCATTCTTCTCAGTGGGTGGCATCATAATGCAATCACATTTTCTGGAAGGTCCCTCCCAGGCAGATTTCTTACTGTGTACAGTGTTGAGGGTCAGGTGACTGACATGAGTCAAATTCCTTAACCCTCCTGCACTTCGGTTTTTCATCTGCAGAATGGGACATCCAACCTCCCTGTGTGCAGAAACAAGGAAAGTGTGTTGAAAAGAATGTTTTATGTGGCAGTTCCCAAGGGAGCCTGCCTCCAAGTCCCTTTAAGGGCTTCTTAAATGCTGGCCCCTGGGCTTGCCCCCAGAGCTGACCTCTGAAGGGCAGCTGGCTTGAGAACTTGCATTTCTGACTTGTTGTGCTCATCCTGGGACCCACAGTAACACTGTAACAACCACTGCTCTTTAGAAATCCAGAAAACGTGGGACAGCAGCCAATTCTTTTTCCTTTCCTGGTGGTGGGTGTGGATATGTTTAGGGGGTTGTCCAGGTGACAGAGAAGCCAGGAGTGAAGTCTATGACGCTGGGGTGGGACGAGGCTCCCTGGGGGGGGAGAGGTGGCCTCATGTCAGGTATTGGGGTACTGACACCTTCCTGTCCCCACAGGAACCAGGCCGTGCGCATTCAGGAGGGCCGGTACCGCCACCCGGGCTGCTACACCTGTGCAGACTGTGGGCTGAACCTAAAAATGCGAGGGCATTTCTGGGTGGGGGACGAGCTGTACTGTGAGAAGCACGCCCGTCAGCGCTACTCGGCGCCGTCCACCCTCAGCTCTCGGGCCTGAGCCCATCACCCCTCACCTGCCCTCCCTTCTGGGGCCACCAGGCCAGGGCCGTGCCAGTAGCAAGTTGGCGTGGCAGGGGTGACGGTGGGCAGTGGCTCATCTGTGAACTAAATTCAGGGGTCTCAGGCCCCTTTGTCCTCGCTGGGTGAGGCCAAGGTCTGGGACCTGTCTTGGGCTGCAGTCTGGTGGCAACCTCGCCTTCTCTGGCCTCTCCCCTGCAGGACAAGCACCGGGCCAGTCTGAGGTGGCCCACTGTGTTCCATGTCTCTGTATACCATGGGGCTAAGCAGGGTGGGACACAGAAGTATCTGGAAGGAGAGAGGTGGGCCAGAAGCAAACTGTACTCCCTGTGTAAAGTTTTTGACATATGAGCTCTATGAATATATAAATGTGGACAAAATAAAGGAGATAGGATCTTTCCTCTTCCCCTTCCCCAGCCCAGGGTGTGAGCTGGTCTCTATCTCTGGGTGGAGAGTCTTTATTTATCCCCCTTCAGGTCCCCCCCATTCCCTGCCAGGTGTTCCCACCTGGCAGTCCCCATAAAGGAGACTTGCCTCTCTTAGGCTGGAGATCGCCCGTTCTTGAGGATGCCTTATGCTTTGGAGGGACTGAAGTTCTCACTGTGAGCCTGGAGAGGGAAAGGAAGGTGGGGGGCCCTGGAGACCCTCAGGCTGGGCTGAGCTGGTTCCTTCTGCAGTCCTTATGCTGCCTGGTATGGACACCACTAGCCCTTTTGCCAAATGGACAAACCGAATGGGGACAGGAAGGCTGCAGTGATGGGGGATGCAAGGAGGGGGGATGTGACATCTGAAGAACACCCAGCATGCACCTGAGGTTGGCTGCCCTGTTTGGGAGAGATAGTCACCTAGAATAACACTGGACCGGGGCTTTAGGTTACCCTTGCTCTGAGACGAGGGAAGGGCCTGAGACACCCCAGGAGAGCCACCACCCTGAGGGACCATGCTTCCTACCTGTCCCCCGGGAGAGACTGCTGGCTTCATTGGTGGTTGATGTGGGTAGGGGTGGGGGGAATACAGTGCATGTGGCTGGCACCAGGTGTGCTTGTCTCAAGGTGCATTTGAAGCGAGGTGGGGGGCAGTGATCCATTACCAGCCCGTGATTTTTGGCCTGATTTACCAACCATCCCTAGTCCTAATCCCAGAGGACATTTCAGAAAGTTTCAGGGCAGTGGGGCAGAGTGCTCCCTGGTGCTCCAGACCTGTCCCCTGTTAGCACAAGGGATCCGCGGCAGCCTCAGCTTTGTTTTCAGGGGTGAGATCAAAGCTGGGCTTCAGAAGGGCCTTGGCGGGTGCCTGCCCCCTAGCTTTGTGTTATCTGGCTCTTTTTGGAAGGAATCTTGGCAGAGACTGTTTGTGTTACCTCCTCAGGCACCTGTTGATATAATTTACACCTTGATAGTTGCCTGAGGAGGGCCCTTTATTTTCATAGAAAAGATCATTTCGGGCTGTCTGGCCCAACAGTCTTGTCTGTCCGCCCAGCGTCTGGTCAGAAATAGGGTCGCCTCTGTGGCGCCACCTAGTGTTCAGCACGGCCTGATGCTGGGAGGACGCTCCCAAAAGGAATTCAGTTCGCTGGTCAACGCTTGGATTCTGGGCTAGCCGGGTTACAGAAAGACCTGGCACTTTTCTTGCTTTCTTGGAGATAAAAGGCAAGTGTCAGTGATTGAGCTGGCATGAATGAAATAATGCTATGTGGCAGTGAGTGCTTAGGAACACAAAAAAGAGCTCCCCAGTTAGTTCAAACAGTGGCTATCCATGGGAAAGGATGACCAATTCTTGGACAGGTGAAGGAGAGAGGTGCTGAGTGGTGGGAGACTGGCGGTGGCACAGTTTAAAGCAGTGGCTAGGCTGGGCACAGTGGCTCATACCTGTGATCCCAGAACTCTGGGAGGCTGAGGTGGGCAGATTGCCTGAGCTCATGAGTTGGAGACCAGCCTGAGCTAGAGCAAGACCCCTGTCTCTAAAAATAGTCAGGCGTTGTTGTGGGCACTTGTAGTCCTAGCCACTCAGGAGGCTGAGACAAGAGAATCACTTGAGCCCAAGAGACTGAGGTTGCTGTGAGCTATGATGCCATGGCACTCCACCAGGGGTGACAAAAAATAAAATAAAGTGGTGGCTGGCAGGGATGCTCAGATAAGATTGGAAGGCGGCTGGGAATGCCAGAGTGCTTCTGGAAACATTTGAAAAATGTTAAGCAGGGAGGTGACAGGTTGGAAAAGATAGGTGACAGGTTGGACTATTGCTGTGGTGAGATCCTGGTCATGATAAACCATACTGGGCCTGCAGTGTCCTAAGGAGTGGAGGAGAACAAGTAGCAATGGGGACACTTGTGAAACAGGCATACCAGTGTGCTGTTGAATAGCTCCAGGCTCAAACTCACCTCTGGCCTATTTTCCATTTATTTTTTTATTTGTACATATGTGTGAGGTACAGGGGTAACTTGCTAACATTGTTACCCTCTGGCTCTCCTCCAGGGGTCCCAAGGGTTTCTGCACCAGAGTTCTCTGTAGCCACACCACTAGCCTGAACTTGGAAGCCAATCCTCTGGGAGATGAAGTTAATAGTCAAGCTGGTTTGAGAGCAGAGAAGCTGAGGGCAGCCTTTGGTCTTTATACCCACCTCATCCCCATGTCAGCTAGCTGTGAGCACCGGCCCCGCTCTGGCCCACTTGTGCCACTGAACTGTGTCCAGAGTGGTGTCTTCCTTACTTCTTTCTATGTTTCAGGGAATGACTTCAGAAATGACAGATTAGCATTAGAAGTATTCTGAGAGAGCATCTCACACAACCTCACCGCCCTTTGGTTAGAGACAGGAAAGCCACTTTACCAAAGTGATAACAGCTAGATAATAATGGCATTTAGAGCACTTTTGATGTGCTAAGGACATTTTAAAGGCTTGAACTCAGCTAGGTACGATGGATCACAATTATAATCCTAACACTCTGGGAGGCTGAGGCGGGTAAATTGCTTGAGCTCAGGAGTTCAACACCAGCCTGAGCAAGAGTGAGACCCCAAAACAGAAAAACTAGCTAGGCATTGTGGCAGGCACCTGTAGTCCCAGCTCCTTGGGAGGCTGAGGCAAGAGGATCATTGAGCCCAGGAGTTTGAGGTTGCTGTGAACTATGATGTGAAGGCACCCTAGCCTGGGGCAACAGTGAGACTGTCTTTTAAAAAAAAAAGAAAAAGCTTGAACTCAATCCTTGCAACTCTGAGGTAGGTGTTATCATCCTTGTTCCACAGATGAAGAAATTGAGTACAGGAAAGTCAAGTGCCTGTCCCAAGGTCTCCTAGATAGTAAGGAGGAGCCTGAGAGCGGAGCTAGGGCCTGCTCCTGGGTTTTTGGCTTATAGCTGGAGGGTGTGTGTGTGTGTGTGGGGGGGGGTTCTTGCTCCTCTATCACCAGAGGCAGCCTTCCAGGTATAGCTCCAGCCGCCACTTACCACAACAGGAGGTCACCATAGTTTTTCCCAGCCTTCTCCAGGCTGGCAGGAGCTGTCTCCAGACTGCTGGATTTGTCCTTCCTCCCCCAGGGCCCAGCTTCAGCTGCACTGGCAGGAAACAGGCTTCCTGCAGCCCGGACTTCCTCCCAGAGGTGAAGGGGCCACTGCAGCTCTGGCCTCGGCCTCAGGATAACTCTGCTCTCCCACCATCTGTCTCAGGAACTCAGGGCTGCTGCTCACCTTGTTAGGTGGGCAGTGGGGTATGCCTCCCTGCCCTCCCATTCCTTCAGGATCACTCAGAGAGACTGAGGAGGTCAGTTTTACAGGGCCACAGAGCCCTCTAGGAGTGAAGCTTTCACCAGGTTCTGAGATGCCACAGCTGAAGTGGCCCAGGCCCCACCTCACACGTCGGGACCCAGGTCTCATGGCCCTCAAGCTGCTCCTGCCCTGCTGTGTGTGCGTTGGCAGAGAGCAGGGTGGAGGTCTGGTGGGAGTGCGTGTTGGGGTGTGTGTGGGGTGGTTTCTTCTGAGTCACATACAAATCGGTTGTGCTGAGACACTGCATTCCTGCTGGCTGGGCTTCCTGTTTCCAGATGCATTCTTGCCCCAGAGTCACCACAGAGACTGCTTGGAATCCTGCCCCACATTCTCCAAATTCAGGGCCATCAGAAGGCTGCCTCCCCTTCACCTCCCTACCCTTTCACCTTGGAGGGAGGAAAACACCTGCCAGCATGGGGGCTGGCATGGCTGGGGAGGTGGGTGGGTGTCACATCCTCCTGAACTTGCACTAGGCATTCCCTGCCAGGCCCAGCACTCTCGGTTTCCCTCTCTGCCTGTGAGAAGTAGAAGGGGGACAGAGGGCAGCCAGGTGACCCATGGCTAGCAGGGAAGGCTGGGACCTAAGCATCAAGCCTTTGAGACATGGGCTTGGTCTCATTCTGCCCTCTATCTTACCAAGTCATAACATCTGATAGTTCGGGGTTCTCTGACCAAGGTTCCTGAGGATGGTGTTTGAGGGCAGGAAGTAGCAGGGAGCAGAGAGCTGAGTAAACCGTCTTCCCTCTCCCAGTTAAAAGCCACTTTCCTCCCAGGGGTTCAGGCTCCAGCCCCTCCCCCAGAGGCCCAGGTGCAATTCTGCACGTCCCCAGTTCCCTTATCGGCCTCCAGGGGATTTAGGTCCCGCTGGGATTTTTCCAGCCCTGCCCCCTCTCTCCGGAGTAGGAAGCTTTCTTAGAGGCCATCAGCCTGTCGGGTCACCAAGCTGTCTCCCTGCTTGGGCTCCTTTAAGGATGCAGAGAGGGTGGTGGAATCCCATGTCCAACGAGAGTAGGGGGGGGTAAGGGGGTGGGGACAGGGAAGAATTTACACTTTGGCCCAGTTTCGGGTTGCTTCTCTGTCCTGGCTCACGTCTCCCCAGGCCGGGAACACCCACCGGCCCCCCAGCTTTAGGACACCCAGGACGAGGCGTGGACGGCAGGGGTTCAGAGGTGGCCGGGGACACGCAAGTGCCCTGTAGTTGCAGTAAAGGTTTTCCCGCCGGGCAGGAATCGAGGCCCCTTTCATCGCGCCAGGCTCCAGAGAGATTTGCCCAAGCCGCTGAGAACCCGCGCTCTTCCCACAGTCCCACGTGGGGCTGTTTCCTTCCGGGCTCCGTCCTGTCCCCCCACCACCCCACCCCCGGCCCCCGCGCTTCACTCCCCGGCTCCAGGCGGCTGCAGGAAGACAGCCCCGGCCTGTGGACTGGGGTAGGGGGACGGAGCGCCCCGAGCCCGCAGCGGATCCGTGCCCTTATTCTCGTCCCACCAGGACTGGGGACACCTGGGGTGGCGGGACACGGGTGGTCGGCTACCAGAGGTGGCCGCGCGCCCGTGTACCTTCGCCCCTCCTTCCCCTTCCCACTCCGCCCCCAGCCGGGAGTGTCCCCGGGCCGCGCCCAGCTGGGTGCGGACTCGCGCGCTGAGCTGCCCCAGCGGCGGGGGACCGGCCAGGAGCGCCGGGCGGGCTGCGGCGGGAGCGGGCCATGCTGGGCCGGCGGCGCGTCTTCGCCGTGGACGGCCGGGGTGAGTCGCCTGCCCCTCCGTCGGCCAGAACCCTCTGTCCCGGAGCCGCCTTACCACGCCCGGCCCGGCGCACCTGCGGGCCTTGCCCACCACCCTTTAGGGGCCGAGTCATTAGGCTGGGGTCGCCTGGCACGTTGGAGACTCTCTGGGCTTTGGCGTTAAACCAGCCACCGCTTCCGTCCTTCTTCCTACGGGTCCCCTTCCCTGTCATCCCCTGCCGCGAGGCTGCCAGCTTCGGGGCGGCGGAGAGAGCATCTGACTCCGCTGCTTGCGCCCTCCGTGCGGTGCCCCCAGTCCAGCGGGCAGGCGGGCGGTACAGGGTGCCTCCTAGCCTCCTGGCCGGCTTCCTTGCCCAGAGGGGCCCAGGTTGGCATCCAGCCCTTGCTGGGTGAGCTCAGGTTCTGCACCCAGGCCACAAGAGGACCTGGCACAGAGTTGGTAAGGAGGGGGTGCTTCATGCCCCCCTCCTCCTTTCACTTAAATTGCTCCTCTTAAACTCTGCAAAATTTTCACTATTTCTCACTTCAAAGAACAAAAGCCAGGCGACGACGCCGGTGCCCAGTGGGTAGGGCGCCAGCCCCATATATGGCGGGTTCAAGTCCGGCCCCAGCCAAACTGCACCAAAAAATAGCCGGACGTTGTGGCAGGCGCCTGTAGTCCCAGCTACTTGGGAGGCTGAGGCAAGAAACTCGCCTAAGCCCAGGAGTTGGAGGTTACCGAGAGCTATGTGACGCCACAGCACTCTACAGAGGGCGATAAAGTGAGACTCTATCTCTACCAAAAAAAAAAAAAAAAAAAAGAAGAACAAAAGCCCAACATAGGCATAGATGTTTTGATCACTGTCACCCAAGCTCTCTGCTTCTCGCCTGCTGATGTTCTGGGGCAGGAGAGCAGAGTGGTCCCCAGGCTTCTGTCTTTGTGTCCTTCCCTCCTCCCTGAGGCTAGGAACCAGCCTACTCCCCTGGGAGAGCAGCTGAGGAGGCTGTGGCCCCCCTTGTAACGTGGAGGTCGTAGCTGACCCTAGTGGGGGCAGCACAGGGCACACTGGCTGTCTCAGGAGCTGAGAGAGTAAACTGCTAGGACTTCTGTGGCAAGAAGTGACCTCATTCAGCACTTCCCAAACAGCTGGGCCCTCTGTGGGCCAGGCTGTGGCTGTCCTTTCTTCCCTAACTCCTTCCAGGAGGCTCCTCCTGGGAAGTGCTGCCAGCTGCCAGGAATGCTGGGGGCGTTGGGGGCGTTCTGCTCAGCCTGACACTGACTCTTCTTGCAGATGGGGCTGTCCAGGGCCTGGCACGTGGCTGTGTGGTGCCTGGAGTCACCAGCACCTACAGACGCATCCCGGATGTTGCTCCTGAGTGCTCATCAGACTCCTGGCAGTGGGGTGGTGAGCTAAGAAGTGTCGGCAGGCAGGTGCCACTTCTCAAACTGGCCTCCCGGGACTCAGGAGTAGAGATGGCAGTTGGGGACAGCCTCCTGGCCACTTTACCAGGCCTTTCTCAGGACTCTCTGGACTTTGAGCCCCTGGGGAGCCCTGAGCTCCCCACCCAGCAAGGTCGGTTCTTGGCCAGCCACAAACTGGAGCAGATGCTGGAGCGGTCACACCGGCTCCCCACAGGGCCAGCCAGCTTGTCAGGACGCCGCAGCCCCTTCCAGCCACCAAGCAAGCCTGAGTGTGAAGTTCCCCTTTATGGAGCAGGGAAACAAGAGTCCAGTGAGGTACACGTAGATGGCGAGGCCAGCCTGGAAGCGACAGAGGTGGTGAGTGCCAGTTCTCAGCCTGGGGACTAGTGCGGCAAGAGACTGTCCACCCCCCAGCCTGAGCCAGCCCTCCCTGGAGCTCTCTCGGGGTGGGGCATCCTTGCCTCTAATTGGCAGTTGTATCACAGCTCCTTGTCTCACCCTGCTCTCCAAGAGGAGGTAGGCAGCCACAGGTCAGCTGTCAGGGTGAGGCTTCCTCCCACTTTGCCCCGTCTGCTGGCTGAGCACAGCCCAGCACCCTTGGCTGGGGTGGAAATCTGCTTGTGTTTGGGAGTCTCCCCTACCTGCCGTGTCCCACAGGTGGAGGGCCCGGGGCCTGAAGCCTGGACCTGCCTCCCAGGGCAGGGTCTTCGATACCTCGAGCACCTGTGCCTGGTGCTGGAGCAGATGGCAAGGCTCCAGCAGCTCTACCTGCAGCTGCAGTCCCAGAGGCCCCCTGGGGTGAGTGTGGGTCTGGGGGCTTCCAGGCCATCCAGTGAGGGAGGCAGAGAAGGGGCAGGAACCCTGGCACCATGGCTGCCCTCTAGTCAGGCCCTGATTGCCCTGTCTTCCCTGTGCACAGGACCCTGAAGAGGAGGAGTTGGCTGTGGCCCCTTCACCTTCACCCTCACAAACCTCCAGCAATCAGGTGCAGAGGCCATGGGAACTACGAAGCCAGACAGAGGAGTCAGGTGAGGGACATTTGTGTCTCCCCCTGTGTCCTGCTTGCCTCATCTGCCCACCCAGGGTCCCACCAGCAGACCCTCTACCCCACCCCCCAGCCATAGCTTGATGGAGTGGCTTCCTGGCCCTGGGTAACCTGACTCTTTTTCTGAAGGGACAAAGGCAGCTTCACCCCCCAAAGTGGGGATGCCCAACACTAGTCATCCCAAGTTGGCAGAGGCCCCAGTGGAGCCAACTCATAACTTTCCATGCTCCCAGGGACACAAGGTAGGGATGGGTATACATGGGGCAGGTGGTAGGGTGTGCTTTGGTGGGGTGGGGTTGGTGGGAACGTAGGTGCACCCTGTAAGCCAGAAACCCTGGGAAAAAGACAGGACTGATTCCTGCTTGGAGCAGGTGATTTGATCTGGCTGTGGTGACAGGTGTCTTTGGGAGCTTGGTTGGGGCTATGTGTGTGGGGAGGGCTCTGTGGTGATCCCTCATCTTCTGCTCAGCAGGATGTCTCCCACTGGGACAAAGTCAAGGTCCTACTCAACCGAATCCGCTGGAGGAGCCATCAACAGCCTGAGCCCCCTGCCCCTCCTGGTAGTTCTGGCCTCTGGTGAGTCGTGTACCCAGCCCAGCCTGGGGCAGGGAGAGGAAACTGATGATAAACCAAAATGCTGAGACTGTCCTGCTACTTGTCATTTTTGTCTGTAGAAAATTTGAGAGACAGGCTTGGTGCCTGTGGCTCAAGTGGCTAAGGCGCCAGCCACATACACCTGAGTTGGCAGGTTCGAATCCAGCCCGGGCCCACCAAACAACAATGACGGCTACAACCAAAAAATAGCTGGGTGTTGTGGCGGGCACCTGTAGTCTCAGCTACTTGAGAGGCAGAGGCGGGAGAATTGCTTGAACCCAGGAGTCGGAGGTTGCTGTGAGCTGTGATGCCACGGCACTCTACCCAGGGAGACAGCTTGAGGCTCTGTCTCAAAAAAAAGAAAAGAAAATTTGAGAGACAGAAAGTCTTGGAAGGGGTTCTGGACAAAAGGGAAAATAGTTAAAATACCCCTTTTACAGATGAGAAGGTGGGCTCTGGGTAGAGTTGGGGGAAGCTGCTTTCCCAAAGCCACACAGTAAGTCACGATGGGAGTAGAGTGTGGGAAATCTCTCACAGCTCAGCAAGCCCTCACCACTCAACGCTGGAATTTAGGGCCCCTCCCTGGGTTCACAGGGGCAGCAAAATGAAGGCACAGTCAAAAGATTCCACAGTGGGTGCAGTGCATCATGCCTCTGCTTGTCCTGAATAATTCTCCAGGGGGAAGAAGCAGCAACTCATTAATATCCCCTGGCTCCCCACAGCAGACAAATGATCTCTCAACCTTGGGGCCATTGTTACCTTCATTTCTTCCTTCTAGCTCAATGTCTCCTGTCCTGTCCTTTTCTACAGGATTGAGCCCAGGAACCACCTCCCTGATAGGCCTCAGAGCTGCATCCACCGGAAAACCTTTATGCCATCATTAGTGGTTAAGAAGCAACGAGCAAAAAACCTTTCTGTATGCTGAGACTTCTCGATGCAGCAGGTGACCCTGGGTGGAGGGGACTTGCTGTAAAGTCTTCCTCTCCCTTTGTCCTCTTGCTGCTTCTCCTCAGTGCCAGGAAAAGCCACTGACACTTGCCCTTCTCTCTGGAGTTCAAGGACAGGATCTTTCTCCTCACAACAGATCGGCAGAGAAGGCCTGGTTCCCTGAGAGGCCCCAAGATCTGGCAGCTCCAGGGCTCCTCTTTGCCAGAATCTCTGGGCCTAGACAATGTGAACTAACTTATCAGGCATCCATAGCATGTATTTGGCATGGTCTAGGCCCAGTACATTGCAGACGGGTATTTATGAACAATGAGATGTATCTCTCTATGGGACTGTCAGTGTTGTGAACTTTTAGATCCAATCATCTCTGGAATCATGCACCCAAATGTTGGTCTTTTGCATGAGGTAATTGCCAAAGGATGGAAGTGACCTCTGTTCCACAGTGGGCTGTTCCTGAACTTCCTCCTCATGGCCACGCTGGCAGCCCTGGGGATAGAGGATGGTGCTGCGTTGACTGCCTCTGCATGGAGTTTTGCCCCCACTGGAGCAGAACCCCTGGAAGACTGTGCCAGGAATGGGGAAGATTGGGGACAACATTCGGAACAGCAGAGTAACCTTCAAAGTCTGTCCTCAGCTGCTCTGCTCCATACTAACTTGTACATGTCAGAACTGAAACCAGAAGCTCATACCACTTTTTAGGCTTGACAAAGTCCCACCTTTCCTGAGCCACAGCTTCCCATATGGAATAATGATTTTGCCTTACCTACCTCACAGGCTTGTTATGAGGATGGAATGAGATTAAACTGCCTCAAAGTCCTCTGTGAATGTTAAATGAACAGGAAAGGGGAGGGCATGGGTGCTAGCAAGGGGCTGGACTTGAGGGTTGATGGGTTGGCCAGAGGATAAAGCAGACTGGGATTGCTAATGGGGACTAAAGTGGCCAATTTTCTGGCAAGATTTTGAGTAAGCCACTTCATCAAGTTCTCCTAGGTTTCATATTTGAGAGTTAGGGCATTGGCTCCCGCCCTGGCTCACCCCCAGAGCTGCTGTGGGGGTGTGGTCCAAGGAAGGGCAGAGTGCTAGGGTTGGGGGTCATTGGCTTAAGACACAGGAATGTCTCCTAAAATGGCCACCGCTCAGCCATCCTCCTCCTCCTGTCAGCAGAATCTGGTTCTCTTGCTGCTGCTTTCTTGGAGTTGTCAGAGTGAGGCTAGGATGGAAGGCAGTGAGTGCTCCCTTGTATTTTGGGGTCCAGCTCTACTACCTTGGAACTAGGAACCAATATTCTGATGCCTACTCTTCTAGGCAGACACTGAAGTAAGTGCACCATGAGGCGCGGCTTCTTAACGCGCATCCGATCCGGGAAGGCGCACTTCCGTTCCCCAGTTGCAGCGGGATGGCAGGCCGGCGTGGGGGAAGGGAGAGGTCGGTGGAAACGAGGGAGGGACCATATCCGGGAGAGTGGCAGCTTCCGACCAGTGGTCGCGCTTCCGGAGAGGTGCTTCCGGTGGCGGCGACAGTAGCGGCTGTGGTGGTTCCGGGTGTCTTTGTCCCCCCGGTGTCGCGGCCCTGGCCCGCAGGTGGGTAGGGCCCCCCCTGCTGCCCGTCCGCCCCGCCACCCCTCCGCCCTGCCCCGGCCGAGGGGCTGCGAGGGCCCGGCGGCCGAGATGCGCTGGGCGCAGAAGGGGCCGAGCCCCCCACGGCTGCAGGTCCGGTCTCCCTGGCAACGGCCTCGGCCCTGGGGGCGGGCGGAGGAGGGGAGACCGCGCGCCTTCGTCCTCCCCCGGTGGACTCTCCGCGGCCGGGCCGGGACACCCGCCACCGCGCCTGCCGAGGCCGGAGCGGCGGGCCCCGGAGCGTGGGAGCGGGAGGGCGGGCGAGCAGCCCATTTCGCCGCGGGCCGGCCTGGGAGCCGCCGTCCCGCCAGCCGGTCGGGGAAACAACGGCCCGGGCTTCCGGGGAGAGGGCCCTCGTCGGCTCCTCGCCCGCACCGGCCTCCATTTTTCGGGCCCTGCGTGGACGGTTTCGGCGGATGTTTTTAAATGAATGAATGTCACTGGGGCTCTTTCCAGCCCTCCACCCACCACCTGCTCCGGGGGTGGTGTGGCATCGTGAGAAGAGCGCTAAGTTGTTGAGAGACCTGGGTGTGAGTCCCAGTCTTGTCACTAACTAGTTACGAGGCCCCCGGCAGGTGTCTTGATCTCTCTGAGCTTCAGTTGCCTTGTCTGTAAAATGCTGTGACAGTATCACCCACCTCTAGGTTATCGTGAGGGCAAACTGGAAATAATGTAATTTCTCCCTTTATTTACTGCTCCCTTCACATTCTCTCCGTCCATTGCCTGCGTTCAAGTCTCGGTATCCACCTCTCTGCTTTCCTCAAGATTCTAAGTTCCTTCAGATTCTCCCCCTTTCTGGGGGTAGACAGAAATTTTCCACATAAGCTGTTAACATGTTTCTTTTTTGGATTGAAGGTTTTTCCAAGACTCTGAAAGAGGACAGCATTCCCAATGTCCCAGTTTAAGCGCCAGCGGCTCAACCCACTTCCAGGGGGACGCAACTTCTCAGGTGATTACTTTTCTCCCTCCTTGGCCTCATACTGGGAGGTAGTTTTCAAACATTGGCTTTCGGGGTTTTTTTGGTGGAGAGCAGTTTGCTGCTGGTGTTTCTTAGGAAAACAGGAGTTGCCCACTGTGGTTACCAGCGGAGCCCCGTGGAGAAACTGGTGGGAGCTTTGCACTCGGGTTCGCTGTGTCCTCTAGCTGACTTTTGTACTTAAGGTGGCACGTCCAGTTCTTGGAGATTGCTTCTCTATCTCCACAGGCGCAGCTTCCACATCTCTTCTGGGCCCTCCTCCTGGTCTGCTCACTCCTCCTGTGGCCACAGACCTGTCCCAAAATGCTAGGCACCTTCAGGTAGGTTGGGCGTCCTATGTAGTGAATTTCAGCTCTTGGGACTACCCAGCATGCATGGATGCCTGATAAGCTTTCGTTTTTACATTATCGTGTTTGTTATTCCTGGGGGTGACTAGACACCTCTTAGACTAGAGAGTCTTAATTTCTGGCTCTAGGGAGATCTTTGGGGTACTTCTACAAATTAAAGAACTAGAAATCTTCTAAAAGAAGATTGTGAGTCAAGAATCAACTGTCCCCCACTCCAGAGATGGATTCTGTCTACTGTGTACACATGCTTCACTCTACGTGCGTCGTGATGCAGTGCACTGAGCTGAAGCAGGGACAGGAATGAGACCCTAGTGGCAGAGGGAGGTTTTGCCCAGGTTGTTCCCTGTACCTCTAACCCGCCCTCTCCCTTTACAGGGTGGGGAGAAGCAGCGTGTCTTCACTGGCATTGTTACCAGTTTGCACGACTACTTTGGGGTGGTCGATGAAGAGGTCTTTTTCCAGCTGAGGTAGGCTCGAGGCTGGTCTCCTACCGGAAATGCTTATTAGATTCAGTTCTGTCACCATGCTGGTGGTCCCCCTGACCCCCGAAGCCATTGCTTTGCTGTTTTTATGGATGGTGTGAGAAATCTTGATGGAGATTCTCATAGGGGCAGTCAGGGTGGCTTGGCCAGGGTCCTTCTTCTGATGGGCCTCCTGGCTTGTGTGCTGGCAGTGTGGTGAAGGGCCGGCTGCCCCAGCTGGGTGAGAAGGTGCTGGTGAAGGCTGCATACAACCCAGGCCAGGCAGTGCCCTGGAATGCTGTCAAGGTGCAAACGCTCTCCAACCAGGTATTCACCTTTCTTTAGCATGCGCATTGGAAAGGGGTGGGAAGGAAGCCCTGCACCCTGACAGCTGGTCAAGAACCTTCTTTTGTCGAGGGGGTGGGACTGCATCTTTCCAAGGTAGTGGAAAGATCCCCTGAATGCATGGGATCCCCTGAATTTCCTGGCTACTGTCCTACAGCCCCTACTGAAGTCCCCAGCACCTCCCCTTCTGCATGTGGCAGCCCTGGGCCAGAAGCAAGGGATCCTGGGAGCTCAGCCTCAGTTGATCTTCCAGCCTCACCGGATTCCCCCACTCTTTCCTCAGAAGCGTGAGTACTAGTGGCATGGCACTAGGATGTGGCTTTATGGGATACTCTTTTTTTTTTTTCCTGCAATTTTTGGCTGGAGCTGGGTTTGAACCTGCCACCTCCAACATATGGGGCTGGCACCCTACTCCTTTGAGCTATAGGCGTCGCCCCTTTATGGGATACTCTTAATGAATGTGTTTATAACTTTCAGGTTACTTCTGTGCACTGGAAGAAAGGGAGGGGGAAGCTGGACAGGCTTTTTAGGGTTTTAAAGTCACTAGCCATTCCCTCTTTGCAGCTCTGAGTCTCTTCCAAACATCCCACACGCTTCACCTGAGCCACCTGAACAGATTTCCTGCTCGGGGCCCTCATGGACGATTGGATCAGGGCCGAAGGTAAGAAGATGATTAAGCAGAAAAGACGTTTTATTTTACTTACCTTTAGGAGCAGTGTCCCTTTTTTGGCCACCTATTGACACTAATATTCTCTTTCTACAGCTAGATTCTAGTTATACACTGATTTAGCAAGCGGGGGTTTGATATTGTTTGTCCTCAAAATGTCATGCTGAGATACTTTAAATATATAATTTTTATTTCTGGTCTCTAAGGTTGAGATACCAGGAAATGAAAGTCAAGAAAATAGTAACATGGCTCAGTGCCTATAGCTCAGTCGCTAGGGCACCAGCCACTTAGACCAGAGCTGGCAGGTTTGAATCCAGCCCAGGCCTGCCAGACAACGACGACGACAACAACAACAACAACAACAAAAATAAACAAACAAAAAATAGCTGGGTGTTGTGGCGGGCACCTGTAGTCCTAGCTACTTGGGAGGCTGAGGCAAGAGAATTGCTTAAGCTCAAGAGTTTGAGGTTGCTGTGAGCTGTGATGCTAGGGCATTATACCCAGGGCAACAGCTTGAGACTCTATCTCAAAAAAAAAAAAAAAAAAAAAAAGAACATAGTAACATGTCCAAAAGTAACATAGTATGTTTTAGTTACTAGTATCAAATGCATTTCTTTATATACAATGTATACATAAGTTCAAGTTAGAATGTGTATGTTGCACCGTGTACAGAAATTCAAGAGTTTTGCCTTGGATTTGCAGATAGCTTTCTGCAAGAGTAAGCAAGGATGATTTGAGCCTTCGAGGATCATTCTAGGTGGTCCTCTCTTGTCTGTGACCACTGGGGACTTTGGGAACAGACTGTCTATCCCCTGTCCAGTTCACATGTTCTTTCTGAATCTGAGTGTTTCTACCTCATTCTGGTTCTATCTTCATTTTAACTTTTTTTTTTTTTTCTCTTTTGAGCCAGAGTCTCACTATGTCACCCTCGGTAGAGTGCTATGGCATCACAGCTCACAACAACCTCAAACTCTTGGGCTTAAGCAATTCTCTTCCCTCAGCCTCCCAAGTAGCTGGGACTACAGGCACCTGCCACAAGTCCCAGCTATTTTTGTTGTAGTTGTTGCAGTTGTCACCATTGTTGTAGCTGGCCCCAGGCCAGGTTTGAACCTGCTAGCCTGGGTGTATGTGGCTGGCATCCTACCCACTGATCTGTGGGTGCTGCCCCTTCATTTTAACTTTTTATAATGGAAAGTTTCAATGTATGCAAAGTAGACAGGATGGTGTGAAGAGCCCTCATGATGCTCATCACCCAGCTTTAACAAGTATCATCATCTACCATTCGTTCCTTTCTCTTCCTTCCTCTACACACTGCCTTGATTTTTCTTTTAAAGATGAAATTTATGTAGATTGAAATGCATAAGTCTGAACTGGAAAATTTTGACA